ACCTGCATGTCATCTGCCTAGGCCAGTGTGAAGTATTCTGAGAAAGCCTTGTATCTTACCTCACAGTTCCCACTCCAACCCAGCCCTTCAGAAGGCAAAGTCTCAGCTCTTCAGCTTCAAGCATTTCAGCCTCTCAATGAGTTCATCCTGCTCCTAGAGGACCATACCAACATGCAACCATTGTTTGTGATCTTATACTATAAGGGGGTACCAAAAAAAAAAAAAAGAACAAACCTTGCCATTGAGTCAACTGCAACTCATAGTGACCCTATAGGACTGCGCTCCATAGAGTTTCCAAGATGCGGCTGGTGGATTCAAACAGCCAACCTTTTGGTTAGCAGCTGAATACTTAACCACTGGTGCCACCAAGACTCCATGAGGGGTAGCCTGACTATAAATTCTGGGAGAAGAGCTCATTACTATACAGGTGGTACCTGGAAACCCCAGCTTGGTTGTTGCTGGAGACGTTCTCAGGGGAGGTTCTTAGTTGGCTGATAGTATCCAGATATAGGTGTCAAAGGCAAGATGGAAAGGTTCAAGGAGCTCCATCACACATAGCAGTCACAGGAGTTTCAGTCTGGGCCCCAGTCCCTCCTGGACCCACCTTGTATCTGGAGAATGAGCCCACAGTGCAGTGAGTTCAGCAGCTGGTGCATGTGCAAGTATTGCTTGTCACTGGACATGTCCTTGGAGGCGGGGAAATGCTCCTCTTCCAGGATCACCTGTCCTAAGAGTTCCATCTGCTCCTGTATGGCTTCTAGCTGGCTGTAAAAGAACTTGCTGATGATAAGGGCACAGGAATGCCTTCTCTGTACTGAAATTTGATCATTAGGACCATCAGAGACCATGTAGAGGCTAATGAGCAGAACAGACAGAAGCTGAATGTCTGGAGGTGCAGGCTGGCAGCCACGAGCATAGGCTCTAGGTTAGGTAGGATATGGAGAAAGCAGAACCTGAAGTCAGTGATGGTACAAGGTGAATACACCAAATTGGTATGGTCTAGGGAAGGGGAACCCAGTCCCATATATGGTTGGAGGGTGGGTGGTCATTTGAACTTCTTCTTGGCAAAGAATGGAGTGTCATGGATGGACATAGATACACTGTGAAGCTGAGACTTGGTACTGTACACTGGAGTGATTTCTCTTCCTCCTTCTCTTGCACCAAAAGTGTTATCCTCACTGAGTTGTAACTCTGTGGGGTCATTGCAGCAGACCTTATAGATCTTACAGGACTAAAGCAGTATCAGCACCAGCTACATAGTTTGTGGAGCCCAGAGTAAAATAAGCATGTGGGGTCCATTGTTCAAAAAGCAGGAAAAAGAGTACTATTAAAAGTACTAAAATATAAAACTTTTTCCTTTCTTTCATGGTCTCTATTTCAATTTTTAATAGTATTTTTTATTTGCTATTTAATGTAATTCTATGTAAAGAAAAAATAAAATTTTTAATTATTAGCATGAAGGTTACTTTCACCTTTGTATCTTGCAACGCCAGTTTTAAATGAAAGTGTAAGAGTATTTAACTCATACGCAGAATCACTGAAATTATACAATTTGTATTTCACAGTTCATACATAGTTAAATGTAATGTTTATTGTTAAATATCACTAAAATGTATTTATTTATTTGGTATTTGGTCAGTTATGTCTGTTCTTCATAATTTTTTCTAATACATATTTGTGCCTCTGGAGGAATTTCAAATTCTATATGCTACAAGCATTGGAGGAGAAGCATGAAGTGAAAAATAAGTAATTGATGCATGGATTACATTAGGTCTTTCTACTACAAAAGTGGAGATATTTAAGGTTAATTGGAAACATTATTTTGGAGTTTAATTTTGAAAGATACTTGAAAACTACTTTGCAAAGTCATATTCACATAGGGTAAGTTGGCTAGTGCTCATTTAATAGATAATGAATTGCCTGCAGAACTACTCCCTAGGGAAAGCTCATCTCATAGGATATGTTCAAGGTAAGAAATTCAGTGGTAGAGACTCATTATTCACTGTTCTAACCTTATTTCTTCATGGCACATACAGTTATAAATTTAAATCTACACGTATGTAGCACAATAATTCCTACTGGATGTTTAACTAGATACCAAGGTATAGAGTTCCAGAAATTTGAATGTATGCTTCAAACATCTGGAGCTATACATATGGGGAATATACAGCTGTGTTTATTTCAATGATTACACATTTACATGCATACATTTATTTAAATGTATAATCTCTTATATATTTGAGAATATTCAAACATGCATTTGCTGTACTTATTTGAATATGACATTGAAAAAAGATTCAAATAAAAACACTCACCACTTTTATTTAAATCTTACAGTATTTATATAATGTACTTATTAATACATAATCATAGCTCTTTCTTTTTAGTCTAAAACCAAATATTTTTAAAAGATTAAAAAAAACTTAATTGGGATCATAAGTCAAACAAATCAAGAAATTTTTGCACAGAGACATTCATAGTTAGCAAGCTTTCTGGAGAATGTGGAAATTCAGCAGGTCACGAGAATAAAATTATTTGTAATTGGAAAGTGTTTCTTTAATTTGAACAATTTTATCAGTCTGGAAGACACTTCAGTTTAATCTCAAAGCACTTGTTCATAGGTTTTTTTTTTCCTTACTATTACCATATCTGACAAGATAAACTTTACTGGATATTGGTTTATTATAAGATGACAGGGCATTTTTGGTATTTTAAAGCCCTCCCCTCAGGACCCCCCAAAATTCTGGTTAAGAATATTAAAATAATCTCATTGAACTCTACCTTTATTTCTGAAAAGAAACTGGTGACCAGGTGTTATGTATGCTTCTGTAATGCTCTCAAACCACATATGTGTAAGTCACTCATAATGTGAATTTAAATGACTTAAGAAATAAAAGTATATTGTGAACAAATTCTCTAAGTTGGTCTTACACCTGCATACTGTGATTAAAAAAAAAGTAACATACAACTAAATATCCATAAGTTGGCTTGAGCCATAGTAAGTCTTAAACAACTTCCCTAATTTCTGATCTTGAAGAGATGATGTAATATACTAATCTTTGTAAAGCATGACATCATCTGGTCTTTAGTGTGCAAGTCCAGATAAGAAAATCACATATAAACTCTAGACTTCTGGTCACTCAACAAGAATACGCAGAGGCAGAAGCTATGCTCTACACTTTGACACTCTCTGAAGACTGAGACCATGCCAGAGGCAAAGACTGAGACTTTGCCCACTGCCACTGACCTTGGACCTCAGCTATGAGGTACTCATGGAACATGAGCCATGGTTAAGCTTTTCTCCTGAGACTACTCATTAAAGGTAAATGCCTGAAGTTTAAAGATTTGGACTCTAACCATTGGACTACGCTCACATGGTTCTGATTCTCTGGCCCTAATTGAATTTATTGTGGTCTTACCTGTGTGTCTCGCCTTGGAAACCCTATGGGCAGTTCTACTCTGTCCTATAGGGTCGCTATGAGTTGGAATCAACTCCTCCGAAACAGGTTTTGTTTTTATATTGTTCTGATTCTCTGGTTCTAATTGAATTTATTGTGATCTTACCTGTGTGCCTTGCCATGAAAAACTAAATTCACTGCCGTCAAGTTGATTCTGACTCATAGTGACTCTACAGGATAGAGTAGAATTGCCCCATTGGGTTTCCAAGTAGTGATTTATAGATTCAAACTGCTGAACTTTTGCTTACCAGCCGACACTTAACCACTGCCCGACCATGGCCTTGCAATAAACTAAATGAGTTTGTGCATAATAAACTTGAACATTTATTTATTTATTTTAAAATAAAATCCCACAGGACACCAGCCAAATGATTTAGGAGGGCAGGAAATAAAATTACATTTTGGATTTGACACCTGGTCATAATATCCTGGTAAATTTCAGAGAAACTTCTAGTTAGTCTACTTACATTTTCTCAGCTATTTTGAACAGTACTTCCTCTTTCAAGGGCTCTTTTTAAAAATAGGGTCATCTGGCCTAGATTAATGTGATTTATACTTGAATAAGAGAAAAATTAAATTGGAAATCGCATAATTTTTTAAGGAATTTTAAATTCAGTTTACTACGGTAGAAAATTAAGGACTGCAGGTGCATAGATATGTTCAAATGTAACATCCCTAAGCCACATAGGCTATGGATAATAATATCTCTTAATGGGTGTTGCAAGAATTTGTTGTTGTTGGATGTTGCTGAGTCAATTCCAACTCATAGTGACCCCATGTGACAGAATTTCCCCACAGGGTTTTCTCGGCTATAATCTTTAAGGGAGCAGATCGCCAGGACTTTTTCCTGCAGAGTCCCTGGGTGGGTTTGAACTGAACAACCTTGCAGTTAGCAGCTGAGCCCTTAACCATTGCACCACATAATACTTAAAGCATTCAGTTGTCAAATGTTGCCCAAATAATAGCTAACAACCTAATATCTCATTCCCATTTTATATACGAGAAAACTGTGTACCCATTTCCTCAACACATCTCTCAAACCTTAGCTGTTGGTCATGTACCAGGAATGACCATTCTTAAATGGGTTAATCTAGTGCCAAAAGTTAGAATTAATATATTAAAAAACCCAACTTTTTGCTGATTGAACCAACAAAGTACATTTTTTCCAGAGACAGTTCATATTCCAAATATAAGTAGTGCCCTGAGAGTGTGGATTAAAGTGTTTTAAGGTGGAAAGGGTTCAACAAACAAAATAATGTATTTTTGTGTTTTATATTTATAAAACAGGTCACAGTACTTCTTTTTTTATTTCCACAGTCATTTTGTGAATTGGGTGTTCCTCCCTTTTGGAGGTGAGAAAACCAACTGGGAAGAATGTTGTGCCCCAGAGAGAAAAGCCTGGTCTCGCGTCAAAAAGGTGAGGCCACAGGGCCCGCGCATTTGCGCCCAGGACGCGCGGAAGGCGGGAGAGAAACCCACCTATCGGAGAGCAGGCTGAGGGCTGGTCCCGCCCCTGATCGCCGAGCTCCGCCTCTTTTCCTTTCCGCCTTTTGGGAGTAGGAGTGTGCGGCTGACGCGTCCCGCCCCCGCCTCTGAGTGACAGGACCGTGGACAGCAACATTTCCAACTGGACACGAAGTTTGTCGGCCCTTGCCTTGGCTGAGCTGAGGTGTGTGTGTGTGTGCGCGAGAGTGAAGGCTGGGGAGGCCTTGCCTTGGAAGCTTGGGTTCCGGCTCTGAAAGCGGGCGCACCTCCTTAGCAAGCCCAAAGCGTTTAGGAGACAAGCGGCACTTGGGTGGGCTGGGCGGAGGGAGACGCTGGAAGAGGAGCCCTGGGAGACCCAGTACTACGGTAATTAACGATCCTTTTCCGGAGGCGCAGGGCTCTCGCTGTGGGGGCAGGGGATGGCGGCGCGAGGTTCGCGCGAGGGTGGGCGTGGCCGCCGCTGTTGCTAAGGTTTGCGCGGTTCCCGCCCTGCCTGCGTGTCTCGTTTCTGCCGCTGGGCCCTGGAAACGTTAGTCCCGCCCACCTCCGTAGGCTTTCCACTCGGCCAGGAATTGGCTTCTTTGTGCTGTCAGTTAACTCGCGGCTATTTGTCCCAGTGTCCCGCCCTTGGTCGTGTAGTTCTATCACTGGCCTCCCTTTCCTGTGATACCCCCCCCCCCGCCATCTCCCTACCTCTTCTTCAGCCCCTATTAATGAACAGGTATCTGCAGACCAAAATGTTTAGAGTGGAGTTTCATGCAGGAGGGAGTGGTTTTATTGAGGGAGGGATAATTTTATGTGTTTGATGAATCCCTGTGCCCACAAGATTTAGTGTCTATGTAGGTGGCTAGGGAAAAGGGGATGAAGCGATCAGGTTTCTTTTACGTGGAGTTGTTTTTCTTGTTGCTGCTTTTTTCAGATCAGTGAGTTTCCACAGGAAGCTGAGGCAATTCATTATTAACCTAACCTGTTGCCGTGGACCCTATAGGACAGAGTAGAACCGCCCCATAGGGTTTCCAAGGAGCGGCTGGTGGATTCAAACTGCTGACCTTTTGGTTAGCAGCCAAGCTCTTAAACACTGCACCATCAGGCATCTAATTCATTACAGGAGGGGCCCAAATATGTGATCTCCCTTTCAGCCCTTTTCTATGGGGGGAGGTGATACTGCGCCTTCCAAAACCTTTTTGCTTCACTTGGCCCATATTTAATAATTAACTACAAGATGGTAATCACAGATAACCATTTGAAATCTCCTCCTTTCCTTTGCTCATATCGTGTGGCCCTAAATGATTCAGCAGAACAAACATTACAGAGAAAAAACACAAAGGAGCTGAAAGTCTGCTTTTACTTCCCGAGGCCAGGTGTACAATGTAAATCTCCAGGAAGGAAACTTGTGCTGCTTGTTAACCCTGCCTGGGAAGAACATTGGCCTAGAAGTCAGGAAACTGGCAGGGATATGAAATGTTTGTCCTTGGGCAATTACCCTCATGACTGTTTTCTCATCTGTAAAATGGGATTACCAATATGTGCCCTTAAAAAAGTAACAAGGAATAATTGGTTGTGAAAGTACTTTTAAAATAATGATGTACACATATACAAATTGTCATTGATTACACTTTTAATCTATCTGTTTTTCTATGTGATATGAATTTGTAAACACATGTAAACATTGTCACTCGGTTTAAAGTATTTTTGAATTTCCCTTGTGATTTCTCCTTTTATCATTGGATTATTTGAAAATGAAGATGGAAACCCACTCATCTACCCTTAATTGATTTTGTGTTCTGGTTAGATAGCATCTGAAGTGTCTTGCATGACATTTTTCTGCTTTCTTTCCCCTCCTGAGTTTGTAAACAAGTACATGGAGTTTGAAATATTACCTTTGTTACTGATGAGCTGATTGAGGATGAGGCTTTAGATGGGGGACCAAAAATGAATACTGTTGCTTCCTGCCCCCTTCCATCCCCACTTCCTTTCCCAGAGCCTAGACTTTATTTAGCTCAACTGACAAAAAGTTTCAGTTTGCAGAACTGATACAGTGACCCAGAATCACTGCTTTCATGGTCCCGAGCAGAGAGGGAGGCAAAAGAGGGCAAACCTCTAGTGCTTACAGGTTTATAACAGGTTAGCTCTACCCGTTGGAGTAATGTAAACCAATGAATTTCAGTCACCAGTCAGATAACTCTCCTATTAGGAAGCTGTGAATAAGGGGTGGTGTCTGAGGCTAGGACTGTTAGTCCACTGCTCTGGATTTCAATTCTGGGTGATAACCTCTGGGCCATTTAAAGTATGTGGGATGTGTTTAATTATCACAATGTGTTTAGAGGAGGTGCTACTAACTTTTGGGACCTTGAAGTTCAAGGATGTTAAATATTGTGTAATGGAGGAGTCCGCCAACTCAGTGAAGAATTTCCTTCCCTGATTCCAGTGCTAAAAGCATCTCCAACTTCCGGTAGAAGTTCCTCTACATGGAAACATGAGCCTAGGCCAGAAAGGAGGTTTCGCTCTAATCTTTATTTATATGTATCCATGTGTTTAGTATCAATAGATTTTACTCTTAAGTGTGAAACTCTTAAAAAAATTACTGCTTAGAATATAGTTTTTTAAAAATATATTTTCCCAGAATGACTAAAATGACATTAATGGAAAATATGGATACATATTTTATTGTATTTGGTATTCTGGAGATATTTCTTACTGAAGACATAAATATACAGTCCTAGAGCTATCGTTTTCATGCCTTGTTGCATAATTTGATCCTTAATTATATGGTAGAAATGTTAAGTATCTTTGCAAAATAGAGTGAGTTGTTTTTGTTGTTAGCTGTTGTCCAGTTGGCTCCCAACTCATGGAGACCCCATGCACAGTGAGATTGGACCACTGTGACCCATAAGGTTTTCACTGGCTGATTTTACAGAAGTAGATTGCCAGGCCTTTTATCCTAGTCTGGAAGCTCTGCTGAAATCTTTTCAGCATCATAGCAACACACAAGCCTGCACTGACAGATAGGTGGTGGCTTCACTTGACATGCATTGACTGGGAATCGAACCTGGGTTTCCCACATTGAAGGTGAGAATTCTACCACTAAAGCACCACTGTCTCCAATGAGACATATATTTTAATGAAAAAGAAAAGATGATTTCATAGATTCCCTCTTAATATTTAAAATGTTAAACAGTAAAGAGATAAGTACTCTGTACTCAGGGGTTTAGCAGACTTTGTTATTTGAAAAATGAAGACAATTTCATAAGTGAGAGACTCTTGTAAATTGCATGGTTTGCAAGCCACTGCTCATGGAAAATGACAAGAGGAATACAGTAGCTTAGTTCTTCTGTAGTAGTAGTACGTAGTGAAGTAGTTACACACACAAAAATTGCAGACTAATTATACTGAACAACTTTAATTTTGGCAAAGATTAAAGGAAGATGGTGTAATCCAAAGAACATTTGTCTTACATTGTTAAATATTAATAATATGACTCAAATATTTCAGGGTATAGCATAATAAATTATGTGGATATCTCTGGCAAAGTCCTGATTGTATATTATGGCTTATAACTTACAGAAGTTGACTGGACTGAAAGTTTTATACTTGGCTCCAGCAGTAGATATGTCCTTTGCTGGGTTATATAATGTTTCCACCCATCAAAATTTCCTCATCTCTGAAAAGAAAGGGTTGAAGATTTATTTTTCTCTCCTAATTTGCTGAACTAGAACAATATGCTTGACCATTTTAATACATTCCCATTCGTCACAATGACTCAATACAGCACTGAATCTTTCTGGGTAGTGGCATATCGCATTTTTTTCGGAATAGGAAGGTATAATTTGAAAAAGAACCCCTCAGTTTCTGATTCTGTTTTGTTTGTGTTCCTAGGGGTCCATTCTTTGTCTCCTCTCCTTCCCTCAACATTGCTTTCCACTCCTGCCACCACACACATATTTGGAAAACACTGGACTAAATGATGATAAGGTCTCTTCTAGTGCCAAAATATTCTACATAAATTTAGCATTAAAAAATGAATAAAGTGGGGGAAAACCCACCAAACTAAGGAAAAGGAAAGCAACAGAAGACTTAGAGGTGTACCTGTTGTGTAGGACTAAGAACTTGGTTTGGCCTTTTTCTCTGGTTTCTGAAAATAGCCAGAGCAATTAAGGTGCTCTTTGTTTTCCAGAATAACCAGGCAAGTAGGACCCACACCTGGTGAACTAACTTCAGGATGGGAGGGGACATGATGCAGTCTTGCTTATTCATTGATTGGATTGATCAAAACCAGGGCTTTGAACTGGTTCAGTCATGGCCGACAAAGCAAAACTAGAACAGAAAACAGACCAAATTTTTACAATTTAGATGATCCAGAATGGTAATCGGAATGGGAAAAATTACAGGTTGAAACTCTGGAATGGGAGACTCTGAAGAAACACAGTGAGACCTTTCAGGAGACGAATACATGAGATTGGATTATTGCCAGGACTGTGGACATTCAGAGTGGCACAGTGGGCCGCCATCTTTGAGCAGGGCACCTCTGTTTCCCATGCTGCTCAAACTCCCTTGAGCAAGAGATTTGGTTGTTATGCAATGCCTGCGCTGTCCTTGTTTTCTAGAAGGGAGAGTAAGTTTCTAGCAGGGCTTCCACCGTAATTTTTCTTGTTCTGGTTGCTGTTCTGGTTTACCCAAATTCTAAAAATTCGAATCTGTTCCGGTGTTGTTTCCTCAGCTGTAACTGAACCAGGAAGAACTGGTTTGAAGCCCTGATCATAACTATACATTAAGACCCCAGTCATGTATATTCATTGAGGTCCCAGTGACTAGGGACCGTTGGCCTTGGAGCTTCCTCTCTTTGGGGCCTCCTGGATCCACGAATGAGAGAGGGTGGCCGTGTGCTGGGAGCTCTCTCAGACCTTGTCTGATGCATCTATTCACTTATATCCTTTCTGGTTATGATAAATGGGTAACTGTAAGTATAAGGGAAGGAGCCCTGGTGGCACAGTGGTTAAGGTGCTCAGCTGCTAAATGAAAGGTTGGTGGTTTGAACCCACCAGCCCCTCCATGGGAGAAAGATGTAGCAGTCTTAGCAGTCTGCTTCCTTAAAGATTACAGCCTTGGAAACCCTATGGAGCAGTTCTGCTCTGTCCTGTAGTCACTGTAAGTCAGAATCTACTTGACGGCAATGGGTTTGGGTTTTTGGGTAATTATAGGCAATAGTTTCTTTGAATTTTGAGAGCAGTTATAGAGAATTAATGAATTCACAAGGGGCAATGAGACTGATTTAGCTTGGAGTGGCTAATTCAGAGGAGGGCTACCCAGGCAGTCATAAAGACAGAGTCCTAACTCATGAGGAACTAGTTTTGGGTAGCTGGGTGACAGAGAAGGGCTCCATGGGCAGTTAGTATGACCTATCCCAAGGGGGCTAGAGGAAGAGAGACTGGCTGATCTGAAGGCAGGAGTTGTGCAGACTCATGAGCCTACAGCTGGTTCCTGAAGACCTGGCCTTGAGTGGCAGGGATGTTTTGATCTAACTCTTATGTGGCTAGGGTGAGACAGGAAGTGACACAGAAGGGCGGCAATGAGGATCTTGGAGATGTGGGAAGATGAGGCCTGGATCCATTTCCAGGAATTTTATTCATGCTAATCCTTGCCACTTTAGTAGCAGTTAATGACAGCTTCATACTTCTGAAAATCTAAAATGTTTAAACCAAAGAAGAACATTTCAGGAAATTCTGTGACATCTAAAATATGCAAAAAATACATGGGCTCTATGGTTAGAAGAACTCCATATAAAACTTACAGTGAGGAAGTGACAGTAGGAAGATAATAAGGGAATACAAAAAGATGGCAAAGAAACTAAAAATGTGAGAGGTGTATTAGTTTTCTATTCCTGCTGGAATAAGTTACCAAAAATTTGATGACTTAACACAGATTTATTATGTTGCAGTTCTGTAGTTTAGAAGTTTGACATGGATCTCACTGGGCTAAATTCCTTTTTGGAGGCTCTAGGAGAGAATCTATATCCTTGTCTTTCCAGCTTCTAGAGGCTGCCCAGTTTCTTGGCTCAGGGCCCCTTCCTCCATCTTTAACACTAGTAACATTTCATCTCTCTGACCATTCTTCGGTAGTCACACCTTCCTCTTACCACAGGTGGGAAAAGTTATCCATTTTTCAAGACCCACACAGATAATACAGGATGATTTCCCTATTTCAGTGTTCTTCAACTGATTACGTCTACAATGTCCGTTTTGCCAGGTGAGGTATTTACAGGTTCGGGGAATTAGGTCTTGGACATCTATTGGCCGTTATTCTTCCTTCTACAATAGCAGATCCCTATTTGTTGCAGTAAAGAGTAGAACTGTTATTATTGTAGAAAGTTTAATCAGTGTGGAAAAAAGACTGGAGAATCTCTTCTAGTAGAATTTAAAAAATTGCAAAAAAGATGATGTTAATATGGAGGACAAAGAATGAACTTCACCATATGGATATTTGAAGTTTCTGAAGAAGAAATCAGAATGTAGATAATTGTTCCTAAAGAAGAGAACTGATTATTTCAAAGGAAAGTAATAAAGAGATAACACAAAATAAAACTTTCCTGAGCTGGAAAAGAACGATCAGTGCAGATGAAAGGTCTTCTCTTAGTAAGACACAATAGCTAAAAAACACTATCACAAAATTCTCAAATTATAATGATTTTAAAATATCCTTCACATATCTAAAAACATTAAAAAAAAAAAAAAAAGCGTGTTACTATCAGGAATTTCTGCAGTGCTAAATGCCAGAAGACAACAGCAACATTTTTAGAACTTTTTTTTCCCCTTTGCAGTTTGCATTTCTTGTGTGATGGCAACAGAAAGCCACTTCTAAGTATATAAGGGACACTATAAACTATTTTTTGGGAGGAAAAACAAAAACTAAGACATATACAAACACTGAATAATAATGCAATATGAACACAAAAGCCATGATCTTAAAAAAAAAAAAAGAAAAATCCAGCAAAACTAGTGATGTGCCCTAGATTCCTAGAGTATAGAGGTAACTCTAAATAATTATGTTAAGTCTAGTTAAAAACAGATTGAAAATGTAAAAACTTGCTTGCATGAAGAGAAATAAAACGTAAAAATGAATTAACAACCTAGATTTAAATAAAAATTTGAGATTTTCTGATTTGTTTATGCTAGAGGTAAAATCTGGTAATCCAAGAATACTAGTAGATTTAAATACATCTAAATGGGTCAGTAAACTCTGACCAGTGGGCGAAATCTGGCTCACTGTCTGTTTTCATACAACTCACGAACTAAGAATAGTTTTTACATTTTAAAATGATTGAACAAAGAATCAAAAGAATAATAATATTTTGTGACTGTGAAAATTACATGAAATTCAAATTTTATTGTTCATAAATAAAGTTTTATTGGAATATAGCCATGCATTTGTTTATGTGTAATCTATTGCTGCTTTTGTACTACAACAGCAGTGTTAAATGGTTGCAAAACCAAAAAATAGAACAAAACAAAACAAAAATCTGTTGCTGTTTAGTTGATTTCAACTCATGCAGACCCCATGTTTTACAGAATAGAACTGCTCCTTAGGGTTTTCCTGGCTGTAGTCTTTACAGAAGCAGATTACCAGGCCTTTCTTCCATAGTGCTGCTAGGTGGGTTTGAACTGCCAACCTTTAGGTTAGTTGTCAAGTGCAAACCATTTCCACCACCCAGCAGAGACCTGTGGTACTCTCATTGCTTTGCACTGCTGCTTGGTGCATATATTAGTGTCCTAGGGCTGCCGTAACAAATTATCACAAACTGGGTGGCTTAAAACAACAAAAATTTATTCTCTTATAGTTCTGGAGGCTAGAAGTCCAAATTCAGGGCGTCAGCAAGGCCATGGTCTCTCCAAAGGCTGTAGGGGAAGATCCTTCCTTGTCTCCTACTGCTTCTTGTAATCCTAGGCGTTCCTTGACTTGTGGCAGCGTAACTCTCATCTCTTCCTCCCTTGTCACATGGCATTCTTCCCTGTGTGTCTCTCTGTATCTCTTCTCTTTTTATAAGGACAGTAGTCATGTTGAATGAGATTCTATCTCCCTCTAGTATGACCTCATGTTAACTAATTACATCTGAAAAGACCCTATTTTCAAATACGGTGACACTCACAGGTACTGGGGGTTAAGACTTCAGCATGTCTTTTTGGGGGACACAGTTTAAGCCAAAACAGTGCACTGCATATTGCCTTGACACAGTTATAACTTCCTTTTGTATCTTGGCCCGCAGTGCCTACTATTTTTATTGTCTGACCTTTTACAAAAAAAGTTTGCCAACGGCTGCCCTAAACTATAAACTTTAGTGCATAAAATTAAACTTTTTTAATTCAGGGGATCCAAATCTACTGAATTATTGCCCATTAAATGCTTTATTTACCCCAACATCTCTTTGGTCTTATTATGTTTTGAGGTTAAAACCAAGAATTATTATTATTGTTGTTATTCTTTACATGTAGTAGTCCACATTTCATCTTTTCTACCTCTGTGCCTTAGATGAAACAAAATCCATGTAATGATTTTAGAATTTCATTTCCAAGGACAAAAATCAGTTAATACTGTAACTTTTTCAGGAAGCATTAATGAATGCCTTACTGTTGTATGCCAGAATTCTCTAAGTGCTTCTAGAGATAAGCATGTACAATATGTAATAAGTGAGTTATATGTCAATCAGTTAATCATCAAATATTTATCTGGTAGGTAGAGATAAATTTTACAGAGGAAGTGGTATTAAAGTGGGGTCTTGAAGGATACTTATGAATTCAGTGTAGATAAGGCTAAGAGTAGGTATAATCTGAGATACTGTAGATAAGAGTTGCAAAGCCACTAATCTGTCAATAGGATGGTGTGGTTGAGAAATGGTAACAAATTCAGTGGCTGGAGCATAAATTTGGAGAAGGGTTTCTGGAGCTGAGGCATAAGGCCTCCTGGGTCCAGATTGAGAAGGCTCTTATATGTCATGCAAAGTAACTTTCATCTTCTAGGAAACGAGAACCCTTTTAAGGTTTTCAAACAGTAGAGCATTATGATCAGATTGGTGCTTTAGAATCGTGGTTCTCAAAAACTTTTTCAAATATAACACAACCTATAATTATTTACTTCTGTGACTATACCTTCAAAGAATAAAAGTTGCCTTCGGATATACCTACCTTTGCCTTATTTATATCAAACTTTTCCTTGAAAGGAAAGATAATGGCTGTATATACACTCCTCACTGACATGGTTAAGTTCCAAAGACCAGGTTGTTATGCGAAAATAGCGTTTTGCGAAAATGGAGGATGACCACATCAAATCACAAAATGGGAGATGACTACATTATTACATAACTGCCAAATTACATCATTACATAACTGCCAAACCACTGAGAATCATGGCCCAACCAAGTTGACACAACCTTAACTATCACAGCCAACGTTACTCTCACCTTGCACCTTGGTGGTCATTACTCCAGTCGTATGTCGTTAATGCACAAAATACTCAGATAGTAGATATTTTACTATTGTCATAAATGCGAAATATCATATAACGAGATTGTCAATAAGTGAGGAATAGGTGTACAATGAACCATTCTTAAAATGTTTCCTGCAAAAATAATATTACTAGTTGTTACAGTTTCAACAGGGTCTTTACCCAAATAAATTTGGGACACATTGGGTTAAATAAATTTAAATAGGCTTTTCTATTACATGATTTCTCAGAGATTTTATTATGATAATGTGCTTTGTAAAAAAAAAAAAAAGGCATAGTATGCAACATTTTCCAAATGTACTTGGCATGAAAACTTATTTTGATTGAACATGTAACAGAATTAGCATACCAAAAAGTATTTTGCAAAATGCTGACACTGTGATTTAATTTTGTGGATAATTAGGGATCTGGATATCATCCTCTTAATATTTCCATATATTCTTTTTTGAATTACAGTAAGAAAAAGCAACCAAGAGTATTATTTTTGGTATCTGTAATTGAACTTGCTAGGAATGCGAGCACAGCAGACATCCAGAACTCTGTAAAGACCTTGCCTTTGGAAACATCTTACCCCTTGGCAGCCCTCCAGAGTTCAGACTTGGCAGCATCAAGGACACAACGCAAGGTGTGTTTATTTAATTTGACATTTGGCAAAAGGTGTTTTGATTTGTAGTTTGTTTTCTTTCCCTTTGTTTTACTTGTTTTGGTTTGTTTGCTTCTGGCAGTGAACTCGGGTTTGGAACATAGTTTTTTCTTATTGAAGGTGGTATTACAGTGGGGAAATGTTTTTAGTTATATTTACTTTGTTATATTTAGGCAATTTCAAGCAAATGAAGCAAGGTCCATAGTACTATAAATCTATATCAGATTTATTTATTAAATCATTTAGTATTATTTTCTTCTAGGATTTGATGCTGCATTAAATACATGGTCTGTCTTGATGTCTGATATATTATTATATTTTGATAAATTATTATATTTTGGTTAGAATCAATATCCTTTTGTAGTAAGTGATGAATAGATTAAGGTCGTCATAAAATATCAGTTATTCAACATTATTTTTAATCTAATCTTGATTAATTGATATATCCATATTTTACATGTATTGTGGGGAGAGGCAATATGGCATAAAATGAAAGAATGTGAACCACTATTATATCTCTGACCTCGTTCCTCATCTCCTGCTGTTCTCCACTGCTACTCCCTACCCTTCACGGGCTCCCCATTTCACTCAAGATAAAATCCAAAGCTCTTAAATTGGCCCCTTGTTATCTCCCTAATGCCATCTCTAAGCTACTCTTGTCTTCATATACTTGCTCTAGCCATACTTGTTATGGTTGTTATTGTGTGCCACAGAGTTGATTCAGACTTGCAGCGACTCTGCAGGACAGAGTAGAACTGCCCCACAGAGTTTCCTAGGCTATAAATCTTTATGGGAGCAGATTGCCAGGTCTTTTCTCCTGTGGAGATGCTGGTGGGTTCGAACCACTGACCTTTTGGTTAGCTGCCAAGTGCTTAACTAGTGTGCCATTAGGGCTCCTTTTAGCCGTACTAACCCAAACCAAACCCATTGCCATTGAGTCAGTTCAGACTCATAGCAAACCTATAGGACAGAGTAGAATTGCCCCATAGGGTTTCCAGGGAGCGCCTGGTGAATTTGAACTGCTGACCTTTTGGTTAGCAGCCGAGCTCCTAACCACTGTGCCACCAGGGCTTCTTAGCCATACTAGCCCTTTGATATTTGAACATGCTAGGCAGGTTCCTATCTCAGTGATTTTGCACTTGGTGTTCCCTCTACTAAACTGATCTTCCCCCTAGATATCTACATGACCAGTTTCCTTACTTTCCTTTGGGTCTTTATTCAAAGATTACTTTCTCAGTGAGGCCCATCTTTATATTCCTTTCCCTGCTCTGTATTTTCTCATTAGCATTTATCACTATCTAATAAAATATATATTTTATACTCATTTGTCATGTTTACTGTCATTCTCCCTCACAAGAATTATTAAACTGTTATTAGGGTAGGGATTTTTGTTTGCTCTGTTTTTATTCTATCTCTACTAACTAGAGTAATACCTGACCCTTGATGAGTGAATGAATGGTTAATTCAGCAAACATTTTTTTAAGCACTTACTGTGAACTAGCACTATGCAAGATAGTGAAGATACAGGGATGAAGTACACAGTTTGATAAGGGAGACAGATAATTACAGCAGCCATCTTACTACAGTGTTGGGTTATGATAAGAGTTTGAATGGAATGCTATCATTACTTAGAGAAGCAGCATTTAAATCAGACTGTGTTAGGCTTATGAAAGGCTTCCTTGTATCAGTAAGAATAGCCTAGGTTATACTGTAGTAACAACCTCAAATCTCAGTGTCTGAATATAACAAGAGTTTATTTCTCACACAGGCTACATGTCCAAAATGGGTTGGTAGGGAAGCTTGGTGATCCAAGATGTCCAAGGCTGCATCTGGACATGTTTACATGATCACTGCAGCAGAGAGACAGGAGAGTGGCTAATTCTGCACAAGCATTTAGAGATTCATTGGTTGAAGCAAATTGCTTAATTTTAAATGAGGTGCTGTGAAGTGCAATATTGTCTTGTACCTAGGAGAATTGGAAGATCTGTGAATAGAATTAATCAGGAGTATAAGATACAGTATATCAGGTGAAGAAGTATTTAAAAAAACATTTCCAGAAAAAGGAACAGCATGGGCAAAGGCAGTAATCTATTATGTAGCATGATAATTTAAGGGAACTGTATATGATGCAAAGTAGTTGGAGTGCAGAGTCTGTGTGGGCTAAAGGCAGGTAAAGGGATTGGAGAGAAAAGCAGGAGTCAGATTATACCAAAGTATGAAGTTAGAACTCCATCTTAAAGGACATAGGGAAGAAATGAAGGATACAGTATACTGCAGGGGAATTTCTTGATCAAATTTTATTTTGTGAGTGATTATTGAGCCATGTAGGGAATGGACTTGAGGGGGGAGCGAGACTAGAAGCCTTGAGATCAGTTATACTGATGGGTAATTCAGGTGAGACCCCAGATTAAAGTAGTGACAGGAGATGGAAAGGAGAGGTACAAAAGATAAAAATAGAGGGAAAGTGTGAAAGGGGTCAGCTCTAGAGCACAGTGGAAGCCTTGGCAGGAGCTGGGACATTTCTTACACTGAAATCAAAGTAGACATACTGATAAAGATAATGTCCATGTCTGAGAGTGTGTGTTTGGGCTTGGTGTGTGTATATGTAAATGTGTGTGTGGGTGTGTGTTACAGAAAGAATGAGTGAGAACAAGCTTGCAAAGTGAGTGATTCTTATCTGATGGCCTATATTTTCTTTGTGACTTGGGAAAGAAGCCCATGTGCCAGACTAAAATGAAGGTGTGTGTGTGTGTGGGAGGGGGTACTTCAGGAGAACTCTGCAAGTTGGAATGGCTACTGAGCCAGATGGAAGATAAGGCAGATTTGGGGCAGAAAGTTTGCAGGGCAGTGTTAGGCACCTGTAAAACTCCAGGTTACACATTTTACTGCACTTAATTGCTTTGGGAAACTCAGATACTTTTTTCTTTAAATTGTTTAGAATTCAGTGATAATTTGAAAGTATGTACTTTTAAAGAATTTTGTGCATGTAGTATCCGTTAGAAGGGTTCTTAAGGTATAAATATACTCCCTACCCAAGAATATTGGTTATTGTGATAATAAAAACACAGTCACTTCATAACAGAGGAAAAATTTTCTAAAACTGGTGAAGTGTTATCCAGTACTTTTAGAAAATAATTTTTTTTATGGAAGACTTTTAAATAAATTAATGTAATGCTATGGTAAAGTTTAATGTTTAAAAAGGCAATAGAAAAGTAACTGGAATATTTATAATATTTTTCTTAAAGGTTTTTTCAAGACATTGGAATGTACTGTAAATGATTTTCTGAAATTATGTTTCTTGTTTCCCATTATGTGTTAAGTCCAGAGTATTTTAAACATTTAGGGACACTAAGTAGATGACTGCAGATTAAAGTTTTGATGCTTCCATGGCGGAACCAGTTTTATGTAATGCCAGTCTTTTCTAGTAGAAGGAACTGTACTGACCTGCATAATGCAGGTGGTAGATATATAAGAGAAATAGTGATTTATAGGCTTAGTAGAAATGACATCAAGAGCTTACAACTCCTGAGGTGAGAATAAGGAAGAATTGGTGGAAGTGTTAACCTGAGAAGGTTTTTTCTTAGACTGGAGAATAATTTGGGACTTCTCACAAAAATCATAGATTCATTTGTTGGCTATAAAACTGGGGTATAATGTTTAAACATTTTTTTAAAAATATTTTTAAGTATTGATTCTGCATATATACTGGAAGCATGTAAGTGATAACTTTATTCATCCAGAGTTTCCGGCACTTAACTGATAAAACAGCGTACATAATTTGGCATCTTTAAAGTTATCCAAAGATACTTTTGTTGAAATCACTTAGCTGATGGTAGAAGATGGTTAGGAGATCAACTAATAGCAGAAACTGTACAATTTATATGTGATTAACCTGTTAGAGGCTCTAGTATATTCTGAGACCATTCTTATATCCTAAGAACCTTAAATATAAAGGAGTTCATTGATTTTTTTATGAAAGTGAGTTCATCAAGTTCAGGCTGTTTTTTGGTCTAAAATCTATTTGGGCTGTGCAGCGCCTTAACAGTAAGTAACTGATTAAACCAGTATGGTATAATGGTACTTAGTAACATTTATTGAACACTTACTATGTGAGAGGCGTCATGCTAAATACTTTACATGAATTACCTATTTAATTTAACCTTAAAACAGCCATAAGATGAGATACTCTTACTGTTCCTATTTTAAAAATGGAAAACGAGCTTAGCTTTGTATCTTGGTTATCTAGTGCTGCCATAACAGAAATACCACAAGTGGATGGCTTTAACAAAGAGAAATTTATTCTCTCACAGTCTCGTAGGCTACAAGTCTAAATTCAGGGTGTCAACTCCAGGGGAAGTCTGTCTCTTCTCTCTCAGCTCTAGAGGAGGGTCCTTGTCGATCATCAGTCTTCCCTTGGTCTGGGAGCATTTCAGTGCAGGAACATTAGGTCCAAAGGACACGCTTTGCTCCAGGCACTGCTTTCTTGGTGGTAAGAGGTCCCATGTCTCTCTGCTTGTTTCTGTCTTTTATATCTCAAAAGAGATTGGCTTAAGACACTATCTAATCTTGTAGATCTCATCAATATAACTGCCACTAATCCATCTCATTACATCATAGTTATAGGATTTACAACATATAGGGAAATCATATCAGATCACAAAATGGTAGACAATCATACAATGCTGGGAATCATGACCTAGCCAAATTGACAGATATTTTTGGGGGACACAATTCAATCATGACACTTGGTTAACAGCTAAAAAGTGACAGAACCAGAAAGGAAACAAGCTAGAGTGAGGAAGAGCTAACCCATCTTTTATCAGGCATATATTCTTATAAAAGATAGATACCCATACCCATTGCTGTCGAGTCGATTCTGACTCATTGCAACCCTTAAGGACAGGGTAGAACTGCCCCACAGAGTTTCCAAGGCTGTAATTTTTACAGACAGGACCCTGGTGCTACAGTGGTTAAGTGTTTGG